CCAGGAGAGCAACTCATTGCGCCATCTTGGTCTACAGTTTTCTACTGGCAAGGTGGAGCGATTATATTGAATCAATGTCTAAGTCTGCTGCTAAGAAGGCTGGTTCCCTGTGCTGTACCGGACAATTTTTCTCGTCTGAATCCATCTTGCACATTTATAAATCTGCCATTCGTCCGTGCATTTAATATTACTATCGTATCTGGTCTATTGCTCCGGCGAAATAACTCCAAATTCTTGAAATAACCCAAAGAAGTGTCTACAATGTTATCGACATCTTCTATCTTTCTGAACTGTTCTTTTATTGTCCTTTCTCTTCACTAAAGTCTTCTTATTCTCTTCCATTCCCAATAACCCCCTTAAATCATTGAGGCATTATCGCCTTGCTTGGAGTAAAATGATTAAAAAAAAAAAAAAAAAAAAAACTATACTTATCCAATATATTCATATTTTTAGAATCCAACAGTCTATATATTATTTTTATAACTGCTTACTCTTTTTACAAATTTTCAAACATATCGACGATTAAATAATTTCTAGTGAAACGCAGAGAGATGAGATATAACTTCAGTTCGGCAGTTAATAAGAGTGGTAGTAAAATGTTCTTGACCTGACTAAGAAGAGATTTTTTTTTAATTCTTGCTTGGTTATTTGGTCAGATTTGAAGGAGGGAATTGTACCGAAAAACTATCAGCACTCCCTAGTTATCTCAAATAACTAGTTTCAAGTCTCGGATATGAAGTTAGGAAACAATATAAGTGGTCGTTTCCACTTACATAAAATGTTCAGATATTTGTTTACGAGCTTCTTCTTCATTATTATTATTATTATTATTATTATTTGATATCCTCTCCCAGGCTTAGATGTTTTCGACCGGATGACGATGGTGATCATGTCTCAGTTTGTACCCGCAGATTAGAGACACAACACTTTCCTCATCATCTCAGCTAGTGGTGTCGTCCGAACCCTCCAAATAATGTCAGGTATCCCCAAGTATAGCAGAAGGTTTCCAGGAAATAGTTTTGCAGGGCCATAGCAGTCGGAGTCTGAGCTCCCAAAAATTTTTACCAATTGTAGTTAGTTTACAGGATTTTATTTTAAAAAAATACAATAAAGAAAGAAAGAAAGAAAAACCTATCAAATCAAGGAAGAACATAATTTCATAAAACCCCGATGCAGGAATTCTTCTTTAAAGGTGTATTATGATGGCAATTACCCTTTATCGTGTGGGTGCATTTTCATTTTAATCTGGAATTGTGGTGAGTCCAATAAAATACATAAAATATAAAAATAAAAATTTACAAACAAATAGAAAAGAATTCAAATTAAAACAAAGATTTGCATTTCCTTAAAATCCTTATCACTTTTTTTATTTTTCACTCTCTTTCTCTCTATATATTTCTCTCTCAAATAAAAAGCGGAAGAAGACGAAAAGACTAACCCCGGCCGAAAAACACCGGATATTGTCAGTCCAGCGTCTAAAATCATTTATGGCAAAAACTAAACGTGTTGATAACCTAAGGCTAAATTCTAAAATTTTTGACCCAATAAAGAAAAAAAAATTGGTCTCTGCTACAGCCATGGCTTGAGTGTGTCAGTCACAAAAGTGGTCATTTTTAGTGATTTCTTGGTACGCTTCTCAGATTTCCCCTGTCAGGTTTTGGTATCTTTGTATTTTCGCATGTCCCAAAGAAGACATTAGGTTTATAATACACAAATGTCCTCAACGCCTTTATCCTCACAGTGGATAAAGGCGTTGGTTAGATCCAGTGACAGTGACCCAAAGAGTGTGAGTTCAATACCCGGTTAAAGCAGTGGAGAACTTGAAGAGGGGAATTAACAGGAAATAACTGACATACATTAAAACATGGAACGTGGAACTAGAACAGTCTACCCCAGTGAGCGAAATAAAGAGTTAAGTTCGACATTCCAACCACCGAAAAAGGCCGGAGCGAGAGAGTTTGAACTGTAAAATGATGATACTTTCCCTTGGTGTATGGATCAGTTATAACAAACGCCATTGTAATAAATATGGCGACAAAGATTAGGACAATAGTCCGAATAATGTAAATAGTTGTGACTTTACATTGAACATTATACAGGGTGACCCCCCAAAAAACGGGAACTTTTTAACAGTCCAATAAAACCAAGAGTGATGGAAGAAAAATATTTTATTGATAGTAATTGAAACCTTAAAACATGGCATTTAAGAAACAATGATGGAATTTTCATTTTTTAAATTACGTCCTGTAGATGGCGAACCTCCTGTATGAATGCAAACTTGAAATCTGCTGATGAAATTCCTCATTGTATCTCCAGCTGAGATGTTATGTTTACACAACTCGAGGAACTCTGGATGAGCAGATTTCAAGATGAAATTCATAAATATCCCAGCTGGATGTTGCGCCAGTCAATGACGTAATTTTTAAAATGAAAATTCCATCATTGTTTCTCAAATGGCATGCTTTAAGGTTTCAATTACTATCAATAAAATATTTTTCTTCCATCACTCTTGGTTTTATTGGATTGTTAAAAAGTTCCCATTTTTTGGGTCACCCTATATTAACACCAGCACTCAATGTGCAATATTACATATATATATTAACAGCAGTACCTTGTCAGTCGTTTTATAGTCATTTTAGCTGCTGCTGCTGTTGAAAGTTCGCAAATAATGTGGCTTCTGTTATTTGGCACAGTTCTTTATTTGTGATTGTGTAGCACTAGTCCACAAGGTTCGAAGAACTATGGCCTTCACCAAAACTCATAGACCTCCCTCGTTCAAAGCATTTTTAACAATTGATCTCAGAAAGTGACTGTATGCAGCTGACAGATATTTCTGAGCGAGTTTGACACCATGCATAACATCCATATGAACGCCTCGATTAGATGACGTTAATTGATAAATTTGGTCCAAAACCTTTTTGGACTCGAGTTTGTGTGGTGATACACAGTAGTACAATTTGTACTTCTATGTCATTTACTTGAAAAAAAAATTATTGACTCGTGTTTTCAGTTTGACGTTTTACTTTTCTATCAAATTGATGTGTTGGATGAAAGTAACTCTAGTTCAGCTTATTCGATGTTCAATTTCCATAACTTCTATACTAAATTATTTATAACTGATCCATACAACAAGGGAAGGTCTCATCATTTTACAGTTCAAACTCTGTCTAGTGCATCTTATTCTATATTCAATTTACCTATCTTCCATACTAAATTTGTTATGGCTGATCCATACACCAAGGGAACATAGCCTCGTCTGGGGATCCTCCCCGCCCGGAGCCAGAGAGTTTGACCAGCACAGATGGAGACGAATCTCCAACTGCAGACCAACATACAGTATTTACTACTGTATTTATGTGAATTATCGTCCGTAGTTATGTTACAACCTTATGCAAACTTTTCTCTTTCAAGGGTGTATTTAAAAACACGTTAGATGTGTATATGTGAACTCACACTTCTTTTCAAAGGTCTTTTTATATTCACTACACGATGTATAAAACATCCAAATAAATTGTTATTTGTTGATAAATAAATCTTTATCTTTAGTTTCATTTAAATTCCATTTGTTCTTAATGTCTTGTTTCACCATAGTGTTGTTACGTCAGTTTCTATGTACGCTTGGTCAAGATTCTTTTATTCTGGACATTACCCGGAATAATTAGTAATCATTGCTAGTACCTTAAATGAGTTAGCACCAACAATATATCCCCTTCTGCATCCAATAATCTCTCAACCAGTGTTACAACCCCCCTCAACCACAATAAGAATCAGCATTTGGTAATAACCAAAATAAAAAAAAACATTTGGTAATAACCAGCTTTATAAGAAGAAATAACCATTTGGTAATAATCAACCTTCATAAGAAGAAATAACCATTTGGCAATATCTAAACTTGATATTAAATAATGACGATTTGGTAATAAACAAGCTTCTTTTCATTTCAGTTCCTCACGCTCAGCGTTGAAGTACTCGCCTGTGTAAAATTACTCGCTAAATATATTATCGACCTCTCACCCGCACACAGCACTTCAAAGAATTTTTTCTCAACAATCCAAGAAAGTTAAGTGTTTCAAACTATTTCTCTTCGTCCAGTTTTGAACGTATGCAAACAATATATCCCTTCGATGAGCAATGAACTCTCTTACCTTTGTCTGAAACATTTTTTAATATCATTTTGTGTTAGATCATTTAATCTGTTGTATGAACATTTCTCCTTCAGGACAATGCGTCAAAATTACGGAATTTAAGAATTCTGGTTTATTTTCCTCAAAACGAGCTACTGAAACTACTTCAAGCGTGTAAAATCGTGAATAAATCCAATATGTTCTTTTTTAATTTTTTTTGTACGTTTCCTCGTTATTATGATCCTTCATTAATTTTCTTGGAGAGAGTAAATCGCCACTATAAATCTACATCAACAAGAGAAAACAGTAGCTACTGCAGCCCGTTTAACAATTTATATCTTATTTATTTACTTAGTTCTTACTGAAAGATTATTTAGCCTCGTTTTGATTTTTCTTTTTTTTTTTTAAAGAAACGCTTCATTACTCAATCTCTCCACACACGCACAAAAAAAAAAGCACATTGTCAACTAGGGACTTAATGAGTAGAAATCCACCGTAATTTTTGCGAAATCTCTGGCTTATGTATTTTACTTATTTATTGTCAGAAACAATTATTTGTGACTTTATGAAGGTTAGGATGATTCAGATCTCATCAGGAACAAAAAAGAGAAAATAAAAAGAACTTCGGAAACAATCATGACTTGCATTAAATCGATGGCGGTCTTAATCTCAACAAATACTTGCCGGTCATTTGATATCTGTATTTCTTAAACAATCGATTATTTCTGGTAATTGGCAATATTGTATTGACTAGTGATTATTGTCTCACCCTAATTATTCTTCCACATTAGTCTGTACGTAAGAGTGGGATACGCGCGCGTGCGCATGCGCGTGTGTGGAAAAATAATTTGCGAACATGAGACTGATATAAGTGGGTTAATCCGAAAGACAAAATCGTTTCAGAGAAATGAAAAACGAAGAAGGTAAAACAAAATAAACAGACAAAAAGCAGAAGGCCACGGCTCTGAAGAAAAAGAGTCATATTCGGTTGGATGCATATACGCAAAAATGCTTGCTAAAAGTTGTTTGTTCGGCGAATAAGACACCCAAATGAAATGTTTGTTTATTTGGTCTGACTTTAGAAGCAAGTCTCAGGTATTATATATATATATATATATATATATATATATATATATATATATATATATATGAACAGAGATATATAGATAAAAAGATACAGTTTGAGATGGATAGAGAGAGAGATGCGAACAGACTGAGATAGATAGATAGATAGATAGATAGATAGATAGATAGATAGATAGATAGATAAGAACAGGCGGAAATAGTCTGATTTTAAAAGGTGGACCGAACCGATCTTTTCAACACCTCTCAAGTATTATAGATAAATAGAGAGAGAGAGAGTAAGAAAGAGAGAGATGAACATAGATAGATAGATAGATAGATTGATAGATAGATAGATAGATAGATACGAACAGAATGAGATAGATCGATAGATACAGACTGAGAGAATGATACGAACAGATAAATTACGAATAAGACCAGTTTACAACAGCTCAAGACAAAGTAAACTTTGCTGAGATGAGAAAATCGCGATAACTCCTTCCTAGAACACGATACACGATACACTCTAAACACAAAAAAATACAAAATATCCGAGCTCATTTCAAAATGCAGACACGAAAACAAATTACTACTACATTATATACAACCATACCATGAATCAAAAACTGTTTTCACTCCAAGTTTGCTTCATCAACGATCGTCTCAAAATCACAACGTGGCAGAAGAGTGAATGGTTGTGGACAAACGCCAGTTATGCCCCGTGCCACCAACACGATACAAGCGACAAAACGAGTCACCCGCTAAAGAATGAAGAGTTAACTAAATACTAACTACGGCGGTCTGAAAGAACTTGAGGACCGACGACTGGGTGACATAATTGGTTACCGCTGTCTAGGGCCGATGATTTTCTTGTTTACCGCTGATAACGTGTTACAAATAAGAATCTACCAGGATGATGGCTCGGGCATGCCAGTGATAATGACAATTTGCTGTTGAAATGTCCACCAAGTTCACCTGAATTGACACCTTGTGATTTTTTTCTATGGGGCTATGTGAAAGGACAGGTCTATATCCTCGCTCTTCGTACAAGCTTAGAGGAGCTTAAGCAGAGAATCACAGAGGCACTGGAAAATGTTACGCAAGACATGCTACTGCGTGTTTAGCTGGAGCTGGACTACCGACGTGACATGTGTCGTGTCACAGGTGGTGTGCATATTGAACATTTATGAAGCTTTGTGAAATCGATTATAAAATCTACATCCCTTTGAATATCTTGTTCGAATTTTGATAAATAAATATTTTTATTGTTCAGCATGAAGCCTATTTAATTTCGTTTCCTTGAGACATGTAGTTAGATAGCAGATATTTACATTTTAAATTATGTCATTTTTTTTTTTTTTTTTTTTGGTGAGGACAGTAAAATTCCATCCTCTTTTTTTTCTTCCTATATTTTCTTTCTTTTTTTATACTAAAGTGGTGCATTTCGGAATCTTACAAATGTATTTGTTAAAGAATATCTGAAAGCCTTTATGACAAAATTAAGCATAATAAAATATAAAAAAAACACCATCTGGACTGTGGTATCCATTGGAATTTTCTAATTAGCACAGACTGTTTCGGAGGTTTTAACCTGGTAACATTTATTTTTCATGAAATAAAAATAAATAATGTCTGTGAGAAACCAACAAGTGACTCAACGAAAATGCCAAAAAATATGCAGAAACAACTGACCATCTTGTATCAGGTTTCAAGGTGTTAACACCAACTGAATATAATAATCGCCATAACAGAGTGGGTCAATATTTGTAATGAAAAATATGCAACTTTTACGGGACTGCAAAACTGGTATGAATATCACCCAGACTCGGTTACAGACATAGTACCTGTAATCATTTTATGGGACTCTACAATACACACAGACAGAACAGTCAAAGCTAATCGCCCAGGCATCGTGATCAAAGACCACAAAAACAGAATGGGCTTTCTTATTGACATAGCAGTTCCTGCAAATTGTAATGTATTTTTGAAGATCTTCAAATAAAACTAGCAAAATAGTGGAAATCTCAAAAATGTGGCACATGAGGACATCAATAATTCTAGTTGTAGTTGGAGCCTTCGGACTGATTGAAAAAAGTTCCGAGAGACTCATTTAACGGATTCTTATTAGTCCATGCCTTAAAGAAATACAAAGAATTGTGCTCACAAGTACAGAGCACACATCACTTTATATAAAAGGTGTGTACAAAAATGATCAGTGGAAAATGTGATGCAGCTGCTTCTGACCTTATGTCTCTGGTTGGGACCCAGAAGGAAATCTGTATACAACAGAAATCAAAGGAAGAGGAATTATTATTAATAATAATAATTATTATTATTATTATTATAATTATAATTATAATAATAATTGTCAAAATACAAGGACCTTGAAATAGAAATCTCGTAAATGTGGCATATGGGAACATCAACAATCTCTGTTGTAGTTGGAGCCCTAGTACTGGTTGGAAAAGATTGCAGTAGACTAATTGAAGAGATTCCTGGAAGTCCATGCCTCAAGGAGATACAAAAAATTGTTCTGACAAGTACAGCCCACACTTTACGAAGGGCTTTATCTATGTAATTTTTTTTTTTTTTTTTTTTGTCAGTGAAAAGTGTCATGACGCCATTTCTAACCTTAGGTCCCTGGGCGGGACCCGGAAAGAAATGTGTAAACGCCAGAAATCAAAGAAAATAAAAATAAAAATAATAATAATAATAAGTCGAAATACCAGTGAAATTTTCACAGTTTTCCTACTGAATCTTAATTCTTAAGTTTATGACTATATAAACTCTTTTTGTCGTACAGATCGTTTGCTTTTGTTGTGAAATCGATTCACAGTCGATGACCCTAACGATGTCTAATAAAAAAATATCGAGACTAGTCCTATAAAGCTACACACTTTATCCTACATCGTTTCCATTGATGGAAGCATTCCTGGAACTCCTTGTTTTAGGGGTTAGCAAACAGCTGCCTTGTCGCATTCTTTTGCATTTCTTAGACGTCATCAGATCTTGTTCCTTTCAAGGAGGATTGTATTTTTGAAGCAGAAAGTCGCAAAGGGCGAGATTTGTGGAATCTGTTGCTTGTCGGACTTGGGGAATGTGTGCTTAGACAAAAACTGCTGCATAAACCATGTTCTCTGAGGAACACGTACAGAAAAGGATTCTTCATACAAACGTATAAAATATTTCTTCTTTAAACAAATGTTCAAATAATAAATAAACTAATGCAGAGAAAAAAAAATTTAAAAGCTACATAACGGTGATGATAACTGTTGTAACTTAGAAAAGGTTACCGAATGAGAAATAACCAAAACGGAAGTTGGAAATGAAATGATAATCTTTATAATATAAACAAAATACAATACTCTCCAGCGGCATGAAGTAGGTAAACCACTGCTAGTGATCAACTACTTAGCATATTACCCACACTTACAATAGTGTCCAACGTATTTATGAGGATTGGGACATACCCATTAATGTTCATAGGTATGGTATATAACTCCAACATTGGTGGGGTGGTGAAACGACTACACTCTACACACTTTCCCTCCAAGCTGTGCTATAAACAATAGAAGTGATCGAGAACGTTATAACTTAGCGTGCATTTGCGACAATGTTCAAGGTGAATCGGTGCCAAATGGCTTCACTCTGCGTAGTTTAGCGCCGTTATCCTAGCAACAGTCCCGATACTTTTTCATCAGAGCTTGTATAAATAAAGACTACTGCTTAATTTCTTTTGCATTCATTTTTCTTTTAGTTTGTTTTTGTTGTAACCTAGGAAGGGTTACTGAATGAAGAAAAACCAAAACGGAGGTTGAAAATGAAATGGTAATCTTTATAACATCAGCAAAATAAAATACTCGCCAGCGGCGTGAAGTAGGTAAACCACTGCTAGTGGTGGACTACTTAGATAGCATATTACCCCCACTTACAATACTTATGAGGATTGGGATATACCCATTAGTGTTCATAGGTACAGTATATAACACTTATAAATATCTTTCTCAAATCGTATGTGGATTACACACTTTAGTAGAATCGTGTTGTTGTAGATCACATTAAGGGGACGAAATGTCTCATGCCTCTCGCTACTCTATTGCTATTTTCATGGCATATGTCCTACATTTATTAGCTTTGAAAGGAAAAAATGGAGGTTAACGCTTCTAAAGGAAAAAGTGGTGGGCGGTAACTCTTTCAAAAGGAGAGGTAACGCTTTGAAAAGAATAAGTGTGGGGGAGGGTAATTCTTCTCTCTTACATTCGTTTACTCATCATATTCGCTTCTCATCTCTTCTCTCTCTCTATCTCTCTCTTTCTCTCTCTCTCTTTCTCTCTTACAGAAGTTTCTTTCGTCTAAGCCTTCAACTCTCATTGCACTAATTTCTCTCCTTCCCCCTCCCTTCCTCGCTTGCACTGGTTTCACTCGTTCACCCCCTCCTCTCCCCTTTTGCACCAGTTTCTTTCGTTTCCAAGGATTGTTTACAGTTTGTTCCGATGTTTTCTTAAAGTGTTCTCAATTTGAAATCAATAAAGAAACGCAAAGAATGGTTGTGTATGTGTCATTCCCTGGATAACTATCCCCCCCACACACACACACACTCACCCTTTATTTTTGGTACGTTATTTTTCACATTGTAGTGTTTGGTTTCTGTCGATTTAAAAAAAAAAAAAAGTTGATAAATTTATTCAAAAAACAAACTGTTAACCATCACTAATCCGGAACCAAAATACAGCATGTTGGATAATAAAGGAAAAATAAAAAATAAAATAAAAACAAGGTAGAGTAAACATTGCATGTAATTCTATTCACTTAGATAAAAATAAATAAATAAATAAAGCGTTTCACAAAGTTGGTTGCAAAAAAAGTCTTGGCATTGCCAAGTAACCTTGACATTATATGGGAAGAATATTAATATACTCCAGAACCTATACTGGCAGAGCAAGGTTTAGGAGAGATAAAAAAAAAAAAAAAAACATTATCAAGCGCTACAAAGAACAGGAAATTGTGGAGAGCCATAATCACCAACATCCTGAAGGAACATGACTCATAGAAGAAGAAGATGAAAAACCTCATTACTGCCGCTTTCAAAGTGAAACATTAAGTGAACATCATGTGAAATTTTAATGAAACACGCGTAAAATAAAGGTTACACACCGCTGTTAAGTCTTTTCCGAAGTTCTGCCTTATCTGTTACGAACAAAGTGAAACAGTCTCCCGAGAGGTTGTTTTCCCGATCACTACAACCTTAACCACTTAGTAAAAAAAAAACAATTATGTTGACTTTGATGATAAACTTCATCACTACCACTCTCAAAGTGAAACATTAATTGAAAACCAAGTGAAATTGTAATGAAACACATGTAAAATGAAGTTTACAGTAATTCTGTTGACTTAGATGAGAAATTTCATCATTTCTGCTTCCAAAGGGAAGCATTAAGGGAAATCAAGTGAAATTTTAATGAAACACAGATAAAATTAAAAGTTCAGCATCTAGTTCTGCAATTTTTCCTTCCTTCATTCATTTCCTTATACTGAGTGTAACAGCAAAATTGTCCAAATCGTGTAACAGCATAATTGTCCATCCCACAAAATGTTTAATATCTAAAAAATACTAAACTAATTGAGTTTCTTTTTCCATTTTTTCAGATAAGACATTTAGCCATCTTCACACTATTTCTTGAATCACTGAAAACCCCTTTGAGTTATTCAGCTCGAAAGAGAACAGGTTAAAATCGTTTTGTATCAGCTCCACTATATCTTCCCAACTGAGCAATGGTGAGAGGAAAAAGATCATTTAGGCCTTCAACATTCATACTCTGGCTTTCATATTCAAAGTCCATTCAAGAACAATCAAAAGAACGGTGAATAAGTTTAAAAAAGGGAGAGAAGTAGAGAGGAAAACTAGATCAGGAGGTCACAACAGGAAGAGGGATCATCATTTCAACTTAGAGCTAAAGAGATCAATTCGAAAAGATCCAATAAGATGTTTGGCACGTGAAAGAGGAGTTTCAGCTATTACAGTCCAAAAATAAAGACTGGAAAGTAAAATTATATGTGAAACCTGTGAGGCAACTTGTTACTTCAGGACAGAAAGTTAGAAGGTTAGAGAGGGTGGAGATCATCAACAGGAGCACCATATGTGGCAGTAATATTCAAAGCACGGACGAGTGGTAGATTTACAAATATGTCAGATAGATTCTGGAGAGAAAAACGTCTTGTACGACACAGCGAACCAACTTTCCTATCAGCAGATCTAGCAACTGATTCAATATAATCTTTCCACTCTATGTCAGCGGAAAATATTCGTCAGAGAAGATGCAACGAGTCACTCTCCTGGAGGTTAGCATCAGCCTTGCTGATGGAAGGAATAAAGGGGTCTCTCAGATGATTGATACAGAGAAGCGCACGACACACGATTCAATGGGATTTTTTGTCTCTATTTCTCCAACGATCTGTTGGAGACTCAATCATTGTTGGTAACACTTGTGGAGTTTTAACATATTGGGAGCCAACTGTAGTGCTTTAAGAAACATAGTATAAGCAGCATCCCTGGCGGTATAAAAACGATGCAAACCCTTAAAGTAACTCTCTTCCGGGTATTCCTCCTTTCGAAGAACTTTTCACACTGAAGCAACAAGGGCTGTGGACGCTCCACACTAAAACAGAGGTAAATCCCACTCAAATACATTCGTTAACATTTCGTTGTGTATGCAATTTACTTCTAGGAAAAGAAAGTCTTGTCTCAAACTTTCCTTTTCTTATTTTGTTTTAATAAATGTTATCTTACATTTCAAATCAATCGGTTTCTGTTATTTTGTGCATGTACCTTTTTCACCACCATTAATTCATGTATTGCAAAATATTCTCTTAAGAAAAATTACACAATAATTATCGAAGTAGCCAACACACTAGACAACTGAAGATGAACTAATTTAAAGGGATAAAAGGAGACCAAATATTTAACCCTGTTGTAGAAGCCTGGTTGCCTAGTGTGGTTTCCTTTTGTATGGCCTTGGGTGAGACCACCAGACTCCCACGTACAAGTTTAGTTGATACTCTTTTAGGATATCAATGGTTCTTGACAAGGTTAGCAACGGTAGAGAATAAACAAACACGAATGGTGTATGAAAAGCATAACAAATATAAGTTTATTTAATAACAAACTGACAGGATGAAGGAGGAAAGCATGTGGCGTCGAGTTCCTGGTTTCTGGATAGTAGGTCTAGCGAATCTGTGAAGCGTGTGGTTGATGTTGAGGTTGAACGTTATTGCGCGCCAAATTGTAATGGTTGGCGCCAAATGTTCCTAAAGAGGAAAGGAGCCGGAGAATAGAAGAAGAATCAATGGAGACTTAGAAACAGATTAACACGGTAGGTTATGAAACTCCGACATGAGTTCGACCAGGATAGAATTACAGAATTTATAAGTTGCAAGAGAAATGAAACAGAATGAAGTATAGACCAAGGGAAAGATCCAGAAAATACCAGTACCTCGTGGGTTCTTAACTAACTTTTTGCTTTGGATGAGAGGTAAGGTTCGCTTGATACTCTGGCAACGTTGTTTAAAAGATGCTAGGTTGACTGCCGTCGATGAGTTAACGGTAAGAGAACGGTTAAGTGTTGATAGAATAATGAATTCTCTGACGTGCGACGATCCTTCGATGGAGTTGGATGTAAGTACGTAGAACTTGAACTTTCGCTGTAGTTGACAAGTGGAGATTCTGGAAGAGTTCGTGACAAATGCTTGTTGCTTTTCTTTTTTTGGAAGAGAATCTCGTATTATGTAGGAAAGTCTTCTCGACTCGATGTCGGCATATCGTCTGTTCGCACGTGGATACTTATTGGCGGCTTTGTCACGATAAGCCACGTGACCTTTGAGTGGCGGAAAATGCCAACCGTCAAACCACTTTGAACGGGTGTCCATTCAAAACTTAATGTTGAAAGCGTTGGGTCGTTGCTCAAAGGGTAGCAACGACGATGAAGAAAAGAGAAAGAGAAAAGGTTTGAGGCAACCGTTGACGGAAGGAGGGGGTGTGCCAATAACACTTACTAGCGGGAAGGGCGAAGTGAGCTCAAACTCTCAAAGTCAGTGGATCGAACTTGATTCACTGGCACTATTTTCCATATCGTTAAGCATTGAGTGAACTGGACTTCCTCAATTAAAGAGAAGAATCATTTTTCTTCGACCATATAATTTTTATGAGTCCAATTCATAACAAGAAAACAACGACAACTAATTTAGAGGAGGCGTTGTTGAAATGATATTTTATTACAAACGAGTCCTTCAAACAACAAAAAAAAAATACACAGAAACTCTATATAAGATATAAATACTAAGTCTACAATGTGGCACTGAAAAGTTCCCGGCCTGACCCACTTCTTAAAATCTGCCCTCATGACGCAACATTTGACCCAACTTGAGAGAAATAATTGGAATGTGCAATATTACAAATACTAGAAAACGCCCTGGTTGGGAAATAATTGCCCCCAAAAGGTCTCTAGTTTATATTAATTTTATTATGATTTCTTTCTTCTTTGCAAGTAGTAATTATAATTGGTATCATTAATTATGTTTTAATTTATACAACTAATTATATTGATTATATTATAGAAGTTTTAATTAACTTATTAATATGTCATTCTAAGAAGAATTTTACGCTTCGCTGATTGGCAAAATGACTTTTCTTTCTCTAATAATTTCTTTCTTTATAACTGCCTTTCAGTTTCTTTTTCATCTTACTTTCTCTTCTTTATCTTCCTGGCAACATACTCTTTCTTTCTTTGAAGCTGATATACCTGCAGCCGCCCCCCACTCACCCCTGCCATTTTTTTTTTCTCTCAGTCTTTCCCCTACTTCACTCCAGGATTTACTGTTCTTTTTTGTCTGTTTCTTTCAATGTTTATATTTGACTTTCCCTTTGTTCATTCTCTTTCCTTTTTCCCTAACCTTTTCCTTTTGTCTGTTTCTATAATTCGTTTGTTTACTCGTTCATCATTCTTTTTGCCTTTCGTTTCCTATTTACTCTAAACTTTTACCTTCTTGCGTTCTCTCTTCCGTTCGATTTCTTGTTTTTCATATTTTTGTGTGTGTGTGTGTTTTTTTTTTCATTCCTTGCTTTCTTTCTTCCGTTTGTTTCCTTGTTCCGCATTGGTTTTATGTCTATCTTTTCCTACATTTCCTTCGTTATAGCTTCCGTTCTTTATTTCTTAAGTTTTCTCGTTTATATTCCTTTTTATTGTTTTTCATTTCTGTCTTTCTTTATCGGTCTTTTTACTCTTTCTTGCAATATTTCTTTCTTTCTCTTTCTTTCTCATTATGTTTTTCTGTAAACTTCATTGGATATTTGTTTTCTTTCTTTCATTGTTTCTTTCATGATTTGTTTCTTTCTTTCTTTCGTTTCCCTCTTTCTTTCGTCCGTTTTCTTGTTTTTCATTCTTTTTATGTCTTTCGCCTCCTTCTTTCTTTCTTTCATTCATTCGTTCGTTTTCTATTTTATTAATCTTTTTATATCTTTTTTCCTTTCTTACTTTCTTTTTCTTTCTTTCTTTCTCCCGTTGGTTTTTTTTTTTTCTCATTCTTTTATGTTTTTCTTTTCTTTCTTTTCTTTCTTTGTTTATTTTATTTACTTTCTTTCGTCCGTTTTCTTTTTTTTCTTTCTTACCTTTCTTTACATTTCTTTCTTTCCCTCTCTCTATCTTTCTTTCCTTCGTTCATTCTTTCTTTCTTTCTTTCTTTCTTTCTTTCTTTCTTTCTTTCTTTCTTTCCCGTCCGTTTCATGTTGCTCATTCGTTTTATGTTTTTCTTTTCCTTTCATTCTGTCTATATTTCTTCTTTTTTCTTCCTTCCTTTCTTTATTTAATTCGTTCGTTTTCTTGTTTCTCATTCTTTTTATGTCTTTCTCTACATTTATTTCTTTCTTTCTTTTCCCGTACGTTTCATGTTGCCCATTCTTTTTATGTTTTTCCTTTTCTTTCTTTCTTTTCTTTCTTTCTTTCTTTCTTTCTTTCTTTCGTTCGTTCCTTTTTTTGCATCTCATTCTTTTTATCTCTTTCTCTGTTTCTTTCTGTCTGTCTTTCTTTTGTCCCGCCTGTTTCATGTTCCTCATTTTTTGTATGTCTTTCTTTTCCTTTCTTTCATTTTTCTGTTTTTTCTTTCTTTCTTTCCTCCTTCCCATTTTCTTATTTCTCATTCTTTTTATGTCTTTCTTTCATTCCTTACATTTCTTCCTATTTTCTTTCTCTCGTACTTTCTTTCCTCCGTCCGTTTCTTTGTCTCTCATTATTTTATGTCTCAACGTTTCTTTCTTTCTTTTTTTCTTTCTTTCTATCTTTCTTTCCCGACCGTTTCATGTTGTTCATTTTTTATGTCTTTCTACTCCTTTCGTTCTTTCTTTCGTTTTTCTTTCTTTCATTCATTATTTCTTTCTTTTCTTTTCTTTCTTCTATTTAGTTCCTTTTCTTGTTCGCTATTTTTTGTCTTTCATTTCCTTCCTTCCCTGTTTTCCCTTCTTTCTTCCTTACCTTATTTCTTTTATTCCGCCCGTTTTCTTGTTTCCCATTCTTTTTGTTTTTCTTTCTTTCTTTCTTTCTTTCTTTCTTTCTTTCTTTCTTTCTTTCTTTCTTTCTTTCGCTTTTTTGTTTCGTGTTCTTTCTCTACATTTCTTCCTATCTTTCTTTCTTTAATTTCATTCTTAATTTCTATCTCTTCCCGTCCGTTTCATGTTGCACATTATTCTTTCTTTCTTTCTTTCTTTCTTTCTTTCTTTCTTCCGTTCATTTTCTTGCTTCTCATTCTTTTTATGCCTTTCTTTTCCTTCTCTTCTTTCATTGTTTTTATTCTTTCTTTCTTTCTTTTCCTGACCGTTATTTATGTCTTTTTTATGTCTTTCATTTTATAACTTTCTTTCTTTCTGCAATTTTCTTTTTTGTCATTCTTTTTGTATTTTTATTTTTCCTTCCTTCCTTCCTTCCTTCCTTCCTTCCTTCCTTCCTTCCTTTCCTTTCCTTTCCTTTGTCTTTTTTTCTTTATTTCTTTCGTCACTCCGTTCGTTTTCTTGTTTCTCATTCTTTTTATGTCTTTCTTTTCCTTTCTATTTTCTTTCTTGCTTTTTTCTTTCTTTCTTCGTTCCTTCCTTCCGTCCGTTTCTTCTTTCTCATTCTTTTAATGTCTTTCTTTACCTTTCTTTCTTTCTTTCTTTATGTTTTCTTTCTTTCTATCTATTGTCCATTTTTTTAGTTTTTGTTTTTTATTCTTTCTCTACATTTCTTTCTATTTTTCTTTCTTAATTTCATTCTTTATTTCTATCTCTTTCCGTCCGTTTCATGTTGCTCATTCTTTTTGTCTTTCTTATCCTTCCTTTCTTTCTATCTTTCTTTCTTTCTTTCATTCATTCATTCGTCTGTTTTCTTGTTTGTTTGTTTTTTTCATTTTATGTTTTTCTTTTCATATAATCTTTCTTTCATCCGTTTGTTTTCTACTTTATTAATCTTTTTGTATCTTTTTTCCTCTCTTACTTCGGTTCGTTTTTATGTTTCTCATTCATTCATGTCTTTCTTTTCATTTCTTTCTTTTGTTTTCTTTCTTGCTTACTTGTTTCTTTCTTTCTTTATTTATTTATTTATTTATTCATTTCTCTCGTTCGTTTTCTTGTTTTTAATTCTTTTTGTCTTTCTTTTCTTTTTTCTTTCTTTCTTTCTCTCTTTCTTTCTTTCTTTCTTTCTTTCTTTCGTTTTCTTGTTTCTCATTCTCTTTATGCAATTCTTTTCCTTTCTTTCTTTCTTTTTTTCTACCGTCAAATTCCTTGTTTCTCCTTATTTTTATGACTATCTTATCCTTTTTTTCTTTTTCTTTCTTTCTATCATTCTTTCTTTCTTTCTTTCTTTTTTCTTTATTTCTTTGTTTTTTTCTTTCGTCCGTTTTCTTGTTTCTCTTTCTTTTATATGTTTTTCATTTCTTACATATTTTTCTTTCTTTCATCAGTTCGTTTACTACTTTATTAATCTTTTTTCCCTTTCTTTCTTTTTTTCTTTCTTTCTTCGGTTCGTTTTCAAGTTTCTAATTCTTTTATGTCTTTCTTTTCCTTTCTTTGTCCCTTCGTTTTCTTTCTTTCTGTTTTTCTTTTTGTCTTTCTTTCTTCCTTCCTTCCGTCCATTTTCTTCTTTCTCATTCTTTTTATCTCTTTCTTTACCTATCTTTCTTTCTTGCATTCGTTCTTGCTTGCTTTTTTTCTTTATTTCTTTATTCATTTATTTATTTCTCTCGTTCGTTTTCTTCCTTTTAATTCTTTGTATGTCTGTCTTTTCTTTTCTTTTCTTTCTTTCTATCATTTTCCTTTCGATCAATTTATTCTTTTCTTTCTTTCCGTTTTCTTCTTTCATTCATCTTATGGCATTCTTTTGCTTCATTTCTTTCTTTCTTCAGTCTGTTTCCTTGTTTCTCATTCTTTTGATGTTTTTCTTTTCCTTCCTTTTTTATTTCTTTCATTCTTTCTTTTTCTTCTTACTCATTCTTTTTATATCTTTTGTCTACATTTCTTTCGTTCTTTCTTTCTTCTTTTCCCGTCTATTTCATGTCACTTCCTTCCTTCCTTCCTTCCTTCCTTCCTTCCTTCCTTCCCACAATCCACCTGTCTTTCTTTCTTGCGTCGTTTTCTTGTCTTCTTTTGTTTTTGTCTCTTTTCCTTTCTTTATTTTTTCTTTCTTCGTTCATTTCCTTTCTTTAGTTGGTTTTCTTATTTCTAATTTTTTATGCCTTTCTTCTCATTCCTTTTTTTACTTTATTCCTTTCTTTCTTTCTTTCTTTCTTTCTTTCTTTCTTTTTATCTTCCCTTTTTCTTGTTTCTCATTCATTTTATGTTTTTCTTTCTTTCTTCCGTCCGTTTTCTTGTTTCGTTTTCTTTCTATGTCTTTCTCCTCCTTGTTCTTTCTTTCTTTCTTTTTTCTTTCTTCCGTTTTCTTGTTTTATATACATTTTATCTTTTTCTTTTCCTACATTTCTTTCTTTTTATGTCTTTCTTTCTTTCTTTCTTTCTTTCTTTCTTACATTCTTTCGTTCGTTCGTTTTCTTGTTTCTCGTTCCTTTTATTTCTTTCTTTTCATTTCATTGGTTTCTTTTTTCTTCCTTCCATCCTTCTTTCCTTCCATCCTTCCGGTCTTTCTTTCATCTGTTCGTTTTCTTGTTTCATAATCTTTTTTATGTTTTTTTCTTTCTTTCTTTCCTTTTTCTTTTTTCTTTTGTTCGTTTTTTTGTTTCTCATTCGTTTATGTCTTTATTTTCTTTTTCTTTCTTTCTTTTCTTTCTTTTTTTCTCTCTCTTTCTTCCTCTTGATTTCTCAGTTTCTTGTCTTTCTTTACCTTCCTTTCTTTCTTTCTTTCTTTCTTTCTTTCTTTCTTTCTTTCTTTTCCCATCCGTTTCATATTGCTTATCTTTTATATGTCTTTCTTTTCCTTCCTTTCTTTTTTTCGTTCTTTCTTTCTTTCTTTTTTCTTCCATCCGTTTTTTTGTTTCTCGTTCTATTTATGTCTTTCTTTTCTTCCTTCCTTTCTTCCTTTTAATGGCTTACTTTCTTTCTTTTGTTTTCATGTTTCTCATTCTTTTTATGTCTTTCTTTTCCTTCATTCCTTTTCTTCCTTTCTTACCTTTTTTCATTTTTCCTTTTTGTTGTGTATGATACACCTAATTTACATAAGTGGAGTACCGACCATATAAATATGGGTTGGTACCGGAAGACGAGGGAAGATTAAGAGATCGAATCCAGAGACTCTGCCCGACTGCGACTTAGTCAACCCATTCTGCAGGAACAGTCTTCCCAAGAATATACCAAAACTACCTGTAAATATTGTGTACCTTTTTTCATTGTTTCAATACATTTTGTTACGTACATTTTGTGTTGTATTATTATTATTCCATGCTTTTGTTTTCATGTTTCTCGTTCTTTTTATGTCTTTCTGTTCCTTATTTACATTCTTAGTTTTATTCATTTCTTTATTTTGTATTTCTTTCTTTTCCCGACCGTTTCAAGTTGCTTTTTTCTTTGTATGTCTTTCTTTCAATATATTATTTCTTGCTTTCTCTCTTACTGTCTTGATTTTCATTCTTGTTATGTCTTTACTGTCATTCCTTCCTTCATTTTTCCTTCCTTCCTTAGTACCATCCTTCTTTCATTCCTTTCTTTTTTGCCTTCGTTTTCTCGTTTCTCATTCTTGTTTACTTTCTTTCTTTCTTTTTTTTCTTTCCTTTTCTTGTTTCTCATTCTTTTAATTCCTGTATTTCTTTATTCTGTCCGTTTCCTTGTTTCTCATTCTTTCATGTCTTTCTTTTCTTTTCTTTCTTCTTTTTTTCTTTCTTTCTTTTTTCTTCAATTCTTTATTTGTTTTCTTCTTTCTTTTTTCCGTCCGTGTCATGAGGCTCATTCTTTTTATGTCTTTTTCTTTCATTTTTCTTTCTTTCTTTCTTTCTTTCTTTCTTTCTTTCTTTCTATATTTCATTTTCATGTTTCTCATTTTTATGTCTTTTTTCCTTTTTTCTTTTCTTTATTTTATTTCTTTCTATTTAGTCTTTTTTCTTTATTTATTTTCCGCACTGTTTCTCTTTCTTTTTATGTCATTCTTTTCATTTCTTTGCTTTCTTGCTTTCTTTCATTCTTCCGCCCGTTTTCTTGTTTCTCATTCTTTTCACGTCTTTATTGTCCTTCCTTCCTACTTTCTTCAGTTCGTTTTTTCTAATTGTTTTTGTTTTTCTTTTCCTATTTTTTGCTTCCTTTCTTTCTTTTCTTCTTTCTTTCTTTCTTCCCGTCGTTTTCTTGTTTCTCATTATTTTTATGTCTTTCTTTTTCTTTCTTTCTTTCTTTCTTTCTTTCTTTCTTTCTTTCTTTTTCTTATTTCTCATTCTCTTTCTCTGCTTTCTTTCTTTTCTTTCTTTTTTTGTATTTTCCTTCAATCTTTCTTTCTTTCTTTCTATCTTTTTTTCTTTTTTTTCCAGTTCGTTTCATGTTCCTCATTCTTTTTATGTCTTTCTTTTCGTTTCTTTCAAGATTGCTTCTTATCTTCTTTTTTCTTTCCGTCTTTCTTTCTTCCTTTCTTTCTTCCGTCCGTTTTCTTGTTTCTCATTCTTTTTGTCTTCCTTTTCCTTCCTACTGTTTATCCTTTCTTTCTTCCTTTCCTCATTTCTTTTTACCGTTCGTTTTTCTTGATTCTCATTCTCTTTATGTCTTTTTTTTTTGCCTTCCTTTTCTTTCTTTCTTTCTTTCTTCCTTCCGTCCGTTTTCTTGTTTCTCTTTTTTTTGTCTTTATCTTCCTTTCTGTCTTTCTTTCTTTGTAGTCCATTTCAAGTTGGTCATATTTTTTATACATTTCTTTTCCTTCCTTCCTTCCTTCCTTTCTTTCTTTCTTTCTTTTTTTCTTTCTTTCTTCCGTCCTTTTTATTGTTTCTCACTCTGTTTATCTCTTTTTATCTTTCCTACCTTTTTCCTTTCTTTCTTTTTTTCTTCCGTTCATTTTCTCGTTTTGCATTTTTTTATGTTTTCCTTCCTTCCTTTCCTTCCTTCCTTCCCGTCTTTCTTTCTTTCTTGCGTTCGTTTCTTTCATTCTTTCTTTTTTCCGTCCTTTTTATTATTTCTCACTCTGTTTATATCTTCTTTCTTTCCTACCTTTTTCCTTCCATTCATTTTTTTCTTCAGTTCATTTTCTCGTTTTGCATTTTTTTTATGTTTTCTTTTCCTTCCTTCCTTCCTTCCTTCCTCTCTGTCTTTCTTTCTTTCTTGCATCGTTTTCTTGCTTCTCATTCCTTTTATGTCTTTGATTACCTTTCCTTCCTTCTTTCTTTTTTTCTTTCTTTTTCCTTCCGTCTGTTTCCTTCCTTCTCATTCTTTTTATGTCTTTCTTTCTTTCCCTCCCTTTCTTTCTTTCGTTTTCTTGTTTCTCATTCTTTCTATGTCTTTCTTTTCTTTACTACCTTTCTTTGTTTCTTTTTTCATTATTTCTTCGTTTTCTTGTTTCTCGAGTTTTTTATGTCTCTCTTCTCCTTCCTTTCTTACTTTCTTTCTTTATTTTGTTTTCTTATTTCTCGTTCATTTGGTGTCTTTCTTTCTCATTCTTTGTTTTTTTGTTTTCTTTCTTTTATTTTTTCTTTCTTTCGTTCGTTTTTTGTTTCTCATTCTTTTTATGTCTTTCTTTTCCTTCGTTCATTCCTTTCTTTCTTTCTTTCTTTCTTTCTTCCGTTCGTTTTCTTATTTGTCA